TTAGGGTTTAGGGGTTAGGGTTTATCTCTCGCTCTTTTTCTCTTTCTCTCGCTCTCTTTGTCTTTTGAGGCTCTAAAAACCTGTTTAGAGATGTTTACGTTTCGGGGCTACGGTTTCACGGGGCTGACGGTTGAAGGCTTTGCGGCTTTTCGGGCCTCGGGGAAGTCAGGATTTGAGGCTCTCAAGTGTTCGCTTTGGACTTTGCCGTCGGAAGGCTCGGGGGATTTAGGCTTTAGGGGTTTAGGGGTTTAGGGTTTAGGGCTTAGGGTTTAGAGTTTCGCATTTGGGCTTTCAGGGCGTTCTGCGGCTCTTGCTGCTGTCGGCGAGCTGGTATAGCATGGTATGGTATAGTAGGGTGTGGTATAGCATAGTGTGGTATAGCATAGTATGGTATGGCATAATGATTTTGGGGGGATCCGGTGTTTGGGTTCAGTAGGACCAGGATTTGGGGGGCCTAGGGATTTGAGTGGGAGTTCAGGTTTAGGGATCAGGGCTAACTTAGGGTTTAGGGTTTAGGGTTACACCTTGCAATGTAATTAGGGTTAACGCCTTTACCTGAACCCTACACCATAAGCCCGAAACCCTATGGGTGTCCCTCAACTTCCTATGCCTTCGGACCCACACCGCATTGCCCTGCGAGGACGTCGACGGAGCCCACCTCGGCAGGCCAGTTGAGTAATATAATGGAATCGAAAAATACATAACACCAGAAAGCACAGTACTGTACAGAATAGTAGTGTGGTATGACATAGTATAATATGGTATGGTATAGTGTGGTATGGTATAGCATAGTTTAGTATAGTATAGTATAGTATGGTCTGTCCCGCAGCAAGAGCACTCGTCAGGAGTGGTAAGCACAGTAACAGGACTGGGTGAAGACTCAAGTCAATGCCTCCCACATGGCACTAAGTTATGGCATAGTATAGTATAGTATAATATAGTACAGTATAGTATAGTATAGTACGGTATGGTATACTTTAGTACAGTATAGTATATATAGTATAGTATAGTGTATAGTATATAGTATATAGTATATAGTATATAGTATATAGTATATAGTATATAGTATATAGTATATACTATATAGTATATACTATAGTACAGTATAGTATAGTATAGTATAGTACAGTATAGAAATAGTATAGTATTGTATTGTATTGTATTGTATATTATAGTATGGTATAGTACAATAAGGTATGGCATAGTATGGTATAGTGCGGGATAGTGTGGTATGGTATGGTATGGTACGGTTTTGTCAAATAGTATGGCATGGTAAAGAACAGCATAGTACGGTACGGTAAAGTATAGTGTGGTATAGTGTAGCAAAGTACGGTATAGTCTGGTATAGTATAGTATGTTATCTTATGGTATAGTGTGGCATGGTACAGTAGGTTGCGGTACGGTTCTCAATCTTCTAGCCTCTCTAACGTAGGGCTTGGAACCCACGGCTGAAACATTCGAGCTGTAGCCAGCTTCTTCAACGATGTCGGTCTTGCAGCTGGGGTTTTGGAGTTTAGGGGTTTAGGGGTCACTGTTGACTTTCGGGTGCCGTTGGGGTTTTGGCTTCCAGCTTCGAGGTATTCGCGGCTTCAGAATGTTGATCCGCCGATGTTTCAGAGCTTGTTGGGCTCAGGGCGCAAGCTTAAGCTGTAAAGCCTCCGATTTCCCTAGAGCCCGAAACCTAATTTCAAACCCTAAATCGCAGTCGTAGCTAAACCCTAAGCCCGGATTGAATCGCAGCCTTCATGCCGCCTGCCAGAGGGTTCGGATCGGGTTATGAGGGTTTTTGGGGCCTGGGAGCTTCCGCTGCATGGGGGGCGGATAGGGTGGGAAGAGGAAAGCCTGAAGTGTTAGGTCTTCAGCGGTTTAGGGTTTAGGATTTAGGGTTTAGGGTTTAGTTCATATGGGGTTTTCCGAAAATTAGGCACCTTATTTTGGGATCCTTAACATAGGGTTCCTACTATTTGGGGGTTCTATATTTGGGTCCCCTATTCTCGGAAACCCCCATATTGGTCTTCATTTGAGTATTAGCATTAATTCTCAGTATTTAGAATTGTAGTGTTAGGGTATTGGCGTTAACACTAGAATTCGTACTACTGGTAGTAGTAACAGTAGTATGAGCTGTGGTAACAGTAACAGAGGTAGTGGTGGTGGTGGTGGTGGTAGTAGTAGTAGTTGTTGTTGTTGTTGATGTACGATTATGACAATGGGTATTAGTATTAGTATGAGTATCCGTATTAGTATTAGTACTAGTATTAGTATGAGTAGTAGTATTTTAGCATTAGCATTAGTACCAGTACTATTGTTGGCCATTTTGAACTTAGAAAACAGCGCCTAGATGCTCCAAGCCCTAAGACACGCGTTGTAATCTGCAAAAAGCCGAAAGAACAACTGCAAGCGCCAACTTCGAAGAGGTGATATGCGGGTTGAGGCCCTGTAGAACTAAACTAAGGTGCTGGGGGGGGGGGGGATTGTCTTGACCTCGCATTCGGCAAATTTAAGGAAAGGTCGGACAATGTATTCGCCATAATATCTCTTGTATATTGTCTGACTGAAACATATGTATATGTATGTAAAGAGAGAGAGAGAGAGAGAGAGAGAGAGAGAGAGAGTGAGAGAGAGGGGGAGATTATCCTATGTACTGTATATGCTGTATATTGCATAAGATATCTTATATGTATCCTGTATACTACATCTTATAAGCAGTTACATTTGTTATTCCTCAGACCTTACCTCATCTTGCACCCTGTATACTGTTAGGTTAGATGTCACGTACTACATATTTTCGCTGTGCTTTGGAGGACTTCGGAAGCCCAGCTGCCGCATGCCGCTCGACCCGTAGGAGCACCAGATCAGTGAAGCACTTCACTACCTGAGATTTCGGGCTGATTTTTTTCGGGCTTTCGGGTGTAGGGCTTTTGTTTTGATGCGCTACCCCCCTCATTTTCGTCCGCAGCAGACTCATGGGACCCCGCCCTTTGCGGGCATGCATGCCGGTGAGGAGGCGTTTAGGGTCTAGGGTTCAGGGCTTAGGGTTTACTGGGCTCACTATACCCTGAATTTATGCTTCTAAAAAGCTATTAGCTATATTAGTATAACAGTTGTCAAAGTTCGATATATTAAAGAGTTCCGAGATGTGGTGGGGGGCGGACAAAGGATTGGCGACTCTGAGGTTTGCGTGATAGGCAGGCACGAAGTCCAGGAGCTCAACTGGGTTCTCTGAGACTGTGCAAGGTTCGGTGAAATGCTGCTCACTGCAGCCCTTAGGGGCTATTGTTGAAGGCAAAAAAAGTGAGTAACAAGGCAAAAAAAATCATGCCTTGTGCTGCTTCTTGATTGCTTCTGCCAATGTCAGTACTGTGACACAACGAAGCAATAAACAAAAAGCCTTAAGCCAACTCAAGCCCCCCCGAAACCCTAAACCCTAAACCCTAAACCCCCCTAGCGAAAAAGCACCTTCAACCCCAAAGTCCAAAGACTTATCCTTGAAGCCCCCACCAAGCCCCAGGAACCCTAAAGCCCCTAAAGCCCCCAAAACCTTTCTGAAGCAAGCACAAGCCCCACAAACCAAGACAACAGAGATCAGGACAAAAGCTCAAGCCGCCCCCCCCTAAACCCCTAAACCCCTACACCCCTAAACCCCTAAACCCCGAGATCCCTAACCCCTAAACCCCTAAGCACCCCTAAACCCCTAAACACCCCTGAACCCCTAAACCCCTAAACCCCTAAACCCCTAGATCCCTAACCCCTAAACCCCTAAACACCCCTAAACCCCTAAACCCCTAAACCCCTGAACCCCTAAACCCCTAAACCCCTAAACCCCTAAACCCCTAGCCTAGGCCTAGGCTCCAGGAGTCCCAGACACCAGGTCCCGATTCTGCCAGGCCGTGCTCCAGACGTAGTTGGCGAAGCCTGGGGTGACCCCGGGTCCGGGGGAATGGAGGGCTCTTGGGGCTTAGGGCTCTTAGGGTTTAGGGTTTAGGGTTTCGGGCTTCGGGTTTAGGCTTTGGGGGCTCTCAAGGGCTCCGAGAGCAGTTTTCTTAGAAAGGCCTGAACCTCTTGTTCAGGGCCGAACCTGCAGATAGGTAGTTCTCTAAATCAGGGTCCCTTTTAGGGTCCTTTTTTATAAGGGTGCCGTACTATATTTGGGGATTCAAAAAGGGACCCTAATTTAGAAAACTACCCAACTAGTTGGTGAAGGTCGTGAGGCCTCGATTTGCGGGTTGCGCGATTTGCCAGGTGCGCACAAAGGACGTAGGGAGTACGTTTTACACATGAAGCCTTCAGCCGAGCAATCGTACAGTGATCCCGGGGGATCATATGAAGATGTGCGAAACTGACCTCCCAGAGGCCTTCAGTTGCAACCATGCAGGGTTTAGGGCTTAGGGTTTCGGGGTTAGGGTTTAGGGCTCAGGGTTTAGGGTTTAGCTATGAAAAAAACGAAGCCCCGGGCCGAGGGGACTCTATATCGTGTAGGGGACAGTCTCGAGGATGTAATCATGGTACCTGGAGGCGATGGCATATGGGTAGCTCTCTAAATCAGGGTCACTTGTCGGGTCCTTTTTATACGGGTGCCGTACTATATTTGGGGGCCTAAAAAAGGGACCCGAGTTTCGAAAACCACCCATATGCAGCGGCCTTGAAGAAACGAGCTCCGTGGAACCGGTGCGAATTGGACTGTGTCGCACAAGCTTGATGGGTTAGCATGAGGTGAGATTGACGCAATCGCTCCTCGTGGTAGGTCCCGGGGGGGGGGGGGGGG